TCTGCTCAGGTTATTGGATAGAGAGGGAGAAATACTCCTCTGTTCTCCTGTATGTGAAACTTGGGCTGATAAATACGTTTGCAAGAGCTTCCTGTGTTTAGGCCTGAAGGTGACAAAAAAATACCCCGAGAATCTAAGTAGATCTTGGGGTATTGAATGACTCAGAAGTATTAAGACAAAACCAGTTTTATCTATTCCTTTTCACAAAAACATAGGCCCAAGCAATGCTAGGCAGCAGCTCAAGGGGGTTTCAGGAAGCTGGTAGAAAATACATAACATTCTAGCTCCTAAAAGTAGCAAATGTATAACTTGTTTTACTGATTTAGTCCCAAGTGCCTACCATGGCACAGGCACACTGGGAAGCTACCGTGCTCTGGGTAAGGCAGCACAGATTCTGCCCTATCACCAAGGGCCTGCCATATCTCTTTGTGCTGCTGATAGTTTATTTCTCCTGCAAAAACAGGAAAAGGAGGAAATTTCTGACACTTTATCATGTTTCCTTCTCTAATTGCTCTAGGCACACTTTGTCACCCCAAGATAAACTGCAAAAACTTGCTTGGCCCTGGGGAGAGAGGGAGAATTAATTTGAACAGTCATCAACTGTGTGCACAGCTGCTGTGTGCAACTTGGTCTTGTGTTCATAACAGAACTGTGTGATATAAGGGGTTTGCAAATAGCCAGTAACTTTTTTATGAAAACATAGGTTACTTGCTTTATAACCCATTTGCTGGTTCATTCCCTTGGAGGGAACGCAGCAGCTCTCCCTGTGTGCTCACATTCTTTATTTTTTGCTAGACAGAAGAAAGCAGATTATGGCTTTTAAGAGCTAAGCTTTGACTTTTCTGCAGGTCTGTGTGAGGGGAAACATGTTGCTCTGATGCCTTGAGTGCAAAAATGTTTAGCTTCGAATCATAGGCTGAATACACAAGCTTCAGTAGTCCTAGAGGTAGCTATTTTAGTTCAGTGTTAAGTTTGCCAAAATAACACATACAAACCAGAAGCCAAAAAAGCCATGTAGCCCTTTGTACCTAAAGTGCATTGGTTAAATTCGTTTAGTGTAACCTTTTCTTAAAGGAAGCAAAAGCTGAGTTAAATACTACTATCAGGTGCAGAAGGGACACTTGTCAGTGTCTTATTCCTGGCAAGTGGTGTGGTTTATTTGATCAGTAATGGGAGGACTGGGCATTGGAAAGTCCAGAGAGGCTGCACTTCCTCCCACAATTGTCCTTTGTAATTGAGGAGAGAGTAAACCTAGACTAAGCTTTGTCCAGATGGACTTGGAGCATTGTACAGTGAGAGGCTACAGTAAGCAATTTAACACTCATTAATTGAAAGGTGTGTGTAAGAACTCCCTTCTCAAATTTAACTCTGAAGTAATAACAAGGCTACAAATGCTCCTACATCTATTCACTGCTAGAATTCATATTACAGATCACTGTCATGTAAAACCACTCCTCCTGGAAGAACAGGCAGTAGACCATTCTCCTGAAAGTTATGGTTATTCACTACCTGTTTGAAAACAAGATGATGCCTGAGCATCCCATTTGCTTTCTGACACCCAAGATTTCTTTTCTCATGTGTCTGAAATACTGCATATGGGAATACTGGAATAAAATAGCATAACACAAGCCACAGGGCTCTGCACACTAAGGAGCATTCACAATACTTAAATCAGCACATGTAACCTCATCAGCTTTTCATAGAGTTTCCAAAGGGCATTTAATTTCTAGTGTAATCCTAAGCAGTTCCTGTTTAAGTGGAACACATACATGTAATTTCTACTGCTGATAGCTCCAGCAGAGTTCTTGAGCTGCATTTATGTAGGCACTGAAACAAAGCAGTGACACAGACCATGCATCATTCTTGTGGTCTTCACTTGCTCTTACATAGCAGAATTCCCATTTTTTCAAGGAAGTATTCTGTGGAGTTCCGAACAACTGCATCACTGAGCTTTAAGTGCCTCCTATTCCTCAAAAAAGAAACCGTTGTAAACTAGTGTTGCAGTGCTTGTTTCCTTTTTTAACTGATCAGTGCAATCTCTAACCTGCAACCATTGTAAAACTGCTAATAAAACAGTGTTAGCCACCAATTTTTTTAAGCTCACAGAAAAGAGTTCAACAGTTCCTTTTAGTGGGGAAAACTACATATTCAGAAACATTTCCATCATATGTATTTTTATATTTACCTTCAGCTTGGCATAATAAACACCTGATCAAGGGTGGCTTTTCCATTTTAGACAGAAAACATCAGTGGAACATACACTTGGATTATAAAATAACTAGAAAAGATAGTTCGTGTCCATGTGTGTCTTTTGCCTAATCTTATCTAGTGTAAACTGTTTTCCAGTCTGAGATTTGGGGGGGGTATATGTAGCTAGTTTACATTCCCATAATGCATATCCCAAAGTTTCCTTAGCATGTGCAAAGGATGACAAATATCAGTACTTCATACAACTATATTTAATAAGTTATTACAGAAAAAAATAAAGTCCAAACTACAAAGTTTAAGCAGTTGTAAGCAATAGCAGCATTGAGCTCCATGTTTAGTCACAGTACTGCAGTTCCATACAAGCATTAGTCCAAGCCAAAAAGGAAGAAGCTTTGTTAGAATTACTAGCAAAAAACAATCTAAGAGAACAAGTAATAAAAGATACAGTACATTTAAAATTAGTTGAAAAACAAGTACAGAGATCTTAGCTGTGAATGCTCTAAAAGTTATGTCCATTAGTTTGACAGTAAAATTACAAATATCTAGTACTTTATACCCCAACAGAACTACATCCAGGAAAAAAAAAAAAAGAGCCAAACTTATCTCTTGTTAGCACCCTGGTTTTCTACTTACTGATGAACTTTTGCTCATGTAAATTTGAGTGTGTCAGAACTATGTGACCAACGTGATTTCTGACCAGCTACCCATTTGGGGTATAGAGTAGTCACTAACATGAATATAAAATACTCTGTGGTATGATAGAACACTATAGCAGCAGAGATTAAGAAGTTTGTCTGTTTAAAAAAAAAAAAGAAAGGAAGGAAGGAAGGAAAAGAAAACGGGTTTAGTTGACATCATACAAAATAGCATAAAAGCAACTACATACAAGCCAGGTTAAACAAAAGAGACATTTCTACAAATCTGTGACTAATCTTTCACTCATACCTTGCAAGTAGAGATGTCACAATACTGAAATATTAACATGGGAGCTTTTCCCAGTTAAGAGCCTTTTTTTTTTATTTTTTTTAAATTTTTTTACTACTCTAACAGATAGTGAAATCAGCAAAGTTATTTGCTAACTGCATATTTGCAATACAATTTGTTTTAGCCCATGCCTTGCTAGCAGGCTATAAAATACAAGCATGTTGGCAGAAATATAAGCATAAACTTTGTACCACTTAGCAGGAATTTTTTATTCCCTCTTCATTCCTTAATCTCCTTTGTTTGCAATTTGTGTACATTCCAACCAGTAGTACCTAATTTGAGTCTAAATTTTACTTCACTATTTGATCTAGTCTATACATTACTTACAGAACTGAACACACAGAGGATACACAATAGACCAACTCTGGGCACATTTCTTCCCACAAGTTCCAGATGAGCCACTCTAACACCCTAGCATAAGTTAGTCTAAAAGGTCATCAGCAACTTGTGGGAGCAATAGTTTTGTCTAGAGAAAGTCATTGTATGCCCTGTTTACGCAACACCAGTTTTAGTCTGGATTGTTTCAGGTGCCAGAACAGAGAGTCACTGGCTTCAGGAAGGGGTTTCTTCTGGCTGCATAGGGAAACAAAGGTGATGTAAATGGAGGTGAAAAGTGTTTTGATACTGGCCCTTGGTATTGCCAATACAAAAGGAAAAAAAAAAAAAAAGGACAAAGACACAAGAGAGGCAGAGAAGAACGGAGAAAGACCAAGAAGCCGAACAGATGTTCGGCCGTGGTGGCAATATGGGTTACAGCATTGCTACCAGGAAATGGCCATTGAGTGTTTGCACTAACTAGAGGCAGCTACCAAGGCCCCGTGGGAGCCTGGTGAGAGACTGGTGTGGGCACCACAGTCTGCTCCACACCACCACTGCGGGCGCAGGCGGAAAGGAAGCTGTGCAGGAAAGGGTCAATTTAACCAAATAAAGAACACGGTGGCAAAATACAATGAAGAATATATATTTTCAGAGGTGCAATCTAAGGCTATTGAAAAGAGAGTTTACTGAGTTCATGACAGGAAAAGTAATGGAGAATTATGCTGAATGGGCAGGGTCAAAAACCCATTGCTCAATAGATTTAGTTCCTTATAACGGCAATAGTGTTTCATCAACACTGGTGGTGTATAAATCTAGACAGCGAACTGGTACTGTGACATCCCTATTATCTCCCTAAATCATTTTGATAAAGGAAAAGGCTTTTCAAAATATCACGGTTTTTCTGCTTCATTCTGTCATTTTATTGCCCAATTCTTTGTTACAATTTTCCAATCACTTTACATAACCAACCATTTTCATCATTGCCACACTATTGTAAACCACATCAGCAAGTTAATACATAAAGCTTTGCATTTCAAAAAACTAGACACTTTAGTAACAATATTACAAAGATTTTAGCTTCAAAAATAACTGAAAATGAAAAAAATAAACTTTTAAAGAATCAGCATCATAAAATTAATTTATTCCAAGTAAAAATACAAAATAATATTAATGACATTGACCAGATATGAAAGTCTCTCCCAGAAACAACTATATTAATGGTTGAGAAAGCACTCCTTAAAGAAAATACGAAATAAAAATGAAAAATATGTAAATATGTTTAATTTTTTTCTTAGCAAAAAATCTTTCTAAAAATAACAATGAAAATTTGTCTCAGTACAAAGGCTACATTACTATTGAAAAAATACCAGCATGAAGAAAAGGTACATATTTGACAGTAGAAAAATGATTTTAGTGAATCACAATGTCTAAAGTCTGCAATGAAAATAAATCTGCAATAAAGATTTATGCCTTTTTTCTTTTCATTTTTCTTTTTTTTTATACAAACAGTACAAACAGTATTGCACATAACAACAAATAGTCGAGGTTAGGTTAGCCTTCAAAAAAATCGACTAGTTCAAGTCTCACATCAGAAAAGGCCACAATAGGACCTGTTGTACCCAGGGGCTTCTTAGTCAAGTTGCAGTTCAGAACTCCTTATTTTAAAAAATAACCTTTTTTTTTGTTTTTTGAAGGACCCTCTTGTAATAGAACATATTAACAACTCAGGGGCACATTCATTTACAAAACAAAAGGGAGCATGTCATAATTTAATAAACTAAAAAAAGTTCTCTTTAAAAAAATACAAACAGAAGAACTCTCACAATTCTGGTCAGTCGTGCAGAATCACACTTGATTATAAATATACAAATTAAGGGAAAATATTCTTTTTTTCACCTTCTATTCACAACTTTCAGCACCAAATGGAGTTTTTGTGTTTACACCTGTTCTCTGTGATGGTTTTGTTTCTGATTTAATCCAACATTACACTATATTGTACATTTTCCAGCTTCTCTCTCTCTCGCTCGCTCTCTTTCTCTCTGGGGGTATTTTTCTACATGAAAGAGGGGTATTTCTTCAAAAAGGTTTACTTCTTTCACATAATTAGGTAGATTTCTGTAGGTTAGCTATGATCTTTAATATTACAGTTATAAAGCTCTAACTTCTTCATTTTCAAAAAAACTCAAATAAGCATGAAAAAAATAAAGTTACCCATCTGTTAAATCATTTTTCTTGCAGAATTAAATTAATATATATTTTTCTGAATAAACTTACTTAGAAAATATCATTTTCTTTCCTATATTTCAAAATTGAGGTATTGCAAAAGATCATGTCAGTCAGAAAGCATGCCTTTTTCTTTAAAAAAAATCATCAGCCAACTGTTGAAAACTGTCTAGATACAAAAAGTAGTGCATAACAAAATGTCTTGTACAGATGAAAAAGAACAGAAAAGACACCTGGGCTGGGGAAAAGCAATATCACAAAACTGCCCAGAAGTAACTTCAAAAGGGATAATTATAATAAGCATTTTTAAACCAGTAAAAAACTATTTTTCTCTTTTTTTTTTTCTCCAAAAACAGAAAAAAAAAAGTCCTTTCAAAGCCAATACTTGCAACTAAACATTGGGAAAAAAAACCAAACCCAACTTACTAAATTCGACACAAAGAAGACATCACAACAAACAAAAAACCCAGAACATTTAAATCTACTATGCGGTGTCATATCCAGTCAGATTGTCCCCAGAACTGCAAAAACAAAGGAGGAAAAAAGAAAACAAAAATAGTGTACACATTCTCACAATCATTAGTATACCAATGTGTTTATATTTATATGCTATCTGCAGCCCCATACTTCATGCTAAAAAAATGTCCACTGTGTTAGCAGGTCTTAATTGTATTCAAGCTTCACAGGATACATCCAGGGATTAGAGAGATAACGCCACATCCACAGAGCAGACATCTCATGTTACTTTTGTATGCAGACATTTCTTTAGCACCACTTTTTTTTTTCTCCTATCTTTCTTAAATGTGCCTAGTTTATTAGTTTGACAGACTATCTAGATTGGTAGTGTATGTACGCTAGCATGAGCTCTTTGGTTTTCTGGACAAGGTCTGCAGCTACGTAAATGATGCAAGCATTAGGAGAGAGATTGTAACTAAGAGCTCATTTCTGTTTATGTACCTGTTATGAACTGTCAAAAATGTGTTAATGTCGGATACAGAGGCTTTTAACAGTTAAAGTTTGATCACAGTACTAGACAGAATCACTTTACTCTATAAAATAAATTGCACGATATATAACAGAGCACCGCAAAGTACTTCATCTACCATCCACAATTTGTTTTAAGAATATCCTACAGCTAGTTGTTTTTTTTTTTAAAATATTTGTGGTAGTATAGGTCATTCTGTAATGGGCTGATCCTAATTTCAGAAGCATTACATTTACTGAGGCATGCCTTCCTCCAGTCAGTAATCAATTCCTTTCTGTTACTGAGTATTTTGTAGCCTACGTAGTAGATTCATAATTTGTGCATTGTGGGCAGGTTTTATATTAGACATATATAAAATTTATTGCATGCAGCAACCTGATTAAGTAAACATGCAGTCAAAAAATATTGACCTTCCTTGGAAGCTTTTCTGTATGCTATACTGATCTCCTTTCAGCAGCCATCACTATTTTAATCACATATTCATTTTTAATTGATACCCTAGCCTGAATAGAGTATTATGGTATTAGTAATACCATTTTAATAGCAGCAAAAGCTATTGCAGCATACATTTACATAACACTAAAAGACCTAACAAAACAAAACAAAAAAAACCCAACAAAACAAACGAAAAAAACCCTCAGCAAAAACAAAAGAAAAAAGTCTGATCCAGCTTATGAGGTATCATCCTTACAAGTCAAAATGGAGAGCAACTAAAGGCTTATTTTCTTTAAGGGTTATTACTACTCTAAATGACCCAAACTAATGATTGCTGAATATCTGTTTAAGTTTTTGCTACATCTGCCACCTACTTGTGAATATTACCTTTGGTAAGTCATCTGCTAGGGGCAAGTCTAAATTTCTGAAAATAAGTGCATGCTCCAGTTTTAAAAATAAAAATAATTATAATAAAAAAATCTTCATCACATACACATCAGCCCAGAGAAGGCTGATGAGAATGGCAGTCTACATAATGTCACTAGTGACAAGTATTGTGTAGGAAATTAAGGTACCAAGCAGATGTTTGTGTGAATCAAAGTGCAAAAATCAGTACAGTTACACTCTGCCGGTTTGTATTATACTGGACACTGAGTTCAGTAATGTGACTGTAAATAATAATAATAGTTAATAAAAAGACCCATATCTTCATTAAAGTCGAGGACGAATGCACAGATTTCCAGAACACTAAGCCCTGAGGCAGCGCTCTCTTTTCACTCAATTTTATTTACTCCAGTACTTGTTGCTGGGCGAGTCCTGGGGTTCAGCTCCAGCGGAACGGGACGTGGCGGGGCCGGTCGCCTCCCTCCTTTACCAGTGGTTTGTGGAACTCTCGCCCAGCACGAGAGTGTATGCTTGCCCAGCAGTATTCACAGTAATACTGCAAACAGGTAACGTTGGCACAAAAGAACGGAGCAAATTTTCCACCACAGCGAGTGCCCTGGCATTCATCACACATCTGATCATCCAGCACGTATGGCTTCACTTCCACCTGCACCAGGAAGAAGAAAAAGAGCTCTAAGATGATTATATTTTAACAGAAAACCTTCAACATTTTAATTCGTTTTGACTCTATTTTCAGAGACTTCCCCCTGTACTCACATTGGTGAGCTCACAGCTCAGTGCTGTGCTCAGCTTTGGGCCCCTCACTGCAACAAGGCCATTGAGGCACTGGAGCGAGTCCAGCCAAGGGCAAGGAGGGCAGCAAAGGGCTAGAGCACATGAGGAAGGGCTGAGGGAGTTGGGCTTGGTTAGCCTGGAGAAGAGGCTCAGGGGTGACCTCATGGCTTTCTGCAACTCCTTGACGGGGCATGGAGAGAGGTGTGGGATGGTCTGTCCTGCCATGGCTGCAGGGAGAGGACTAGAGGGAATGGCCTTGAGCTGAGCCAGGGCAGAGTCAGAGGAGATGTGAGGAGAAATGTTTTCCCTGTGAGGATGTTCAGGCACTGGAATATTGCCCAGGGAGGTGGTGGAGTCACCATACCTAGAAGTGTTTAAGAGGCATTTGGATCTGGCACTGGAGGATATGGTTTAGGGTTTAGGGTTTCCAGCAGTGACAGGTTAATGGTTGGACTTGATGACCTTAGAGGTCTCCTCCAGCCTTGAGGATTCTATGATTCTACTGAGGGTTTTCCACTGATGCAGGATTAACCCAAAGAGGTTGGTAGTTAAATTTTCATACCAACCACTTTACCTGTCAGAAAATCTCAAGAAAGAAGGGTGTGCTCTCATAACTATTCAACATCTCTTCAAAACGTTAGGTGTGGGAAAGTACTAAGATGGAAGTACAGCAAAAATAGCATCTCCAAGGATTTGCCCACTGTCCAAGAAAACTCCAGGAAAGTGAATACAGTTGTTATGGGAACAGGAAGAGAAATTATATAAAGAAAAAAATTATATCCCTAAACTTCAGAGGTCTGGTGAGTTTCAGAGGTTTTTTTTTCTGTGAATTGCAAAATGCAGGACCAGATTAATAAGACATTCAAACTGAACAAAATTAAATGCACTTGTATTAAATACTGTCCCTTTTCTGCTGGCAAAATTCACTATATAAAGATTTTTAGCTCCAGAAATGCAATAAAATTTCACAGTGGTTCCAACTAGGGCCTTGCAATCAATTACAAATAGGCTGGAGAGCTGCTGACTTTTGTCCTACACTCAGCTGTAAACCTCTTGGGACTGGGATGTCTTTTGTTTTTAAAGCACTTTTGCCAAACACAGCAGGATGATGCATGACTAGGCACTTGCACTAATACTATTACAGAAGCTGACAACATACAAGTTCCCTCCTGTGTGTCTGTTCCTATGAGTCAAGCCTACACATTTAAATTGGGAGTTCATTCACTCTGGGGAAATCAGGAGTTCATGCATGTGTAATTCTTAGGGCTCTGTGATGCTATTTATAAATTGGCTTAAGTACAGACAACTGCATTAAAGTAGAGAGAAAAAAGTGGATATATACATTTATTATCAATAATTTTGCTGTAACTGCATAAATGCTAGTCCAGCATCATTTGTATACTGCACAGGAAACTTGACTCTAGAAACACAAAGTGAGATACTAAGTTGAAAAACAAGAAACATATCCTACAAAAAAAGTTTTATGTTGAATTTTACTTCAACTTATCCTCATCAGACTTCAGCAAATGTTACTAATTTGAAGTAAAGCTGCTGTAGTGAATTACATTTCTTGCCTATGGCACAGCTAGAGCTGCCAATCTATTTTTTTCTTTAATTGCACTCTGCTACTAGTATAGCACGGAACAAGTCTGAATAACTGCCATTTTGCATATCAGGTGCTATATCACTAAAATTAGAAGCATCATGTAAAATAAAACAGCACCTCACTGTCTCAAATGAAATTGGAAGAAAGCAGGTCCAATGTCCAGCACAACTCTAGATCTCCACCTACTCACATTTCCCAGGCATGAATTGTAAAGGTTTGAAATAGAGTATCTCTCTGTCTTTCTCTCTCTCTCATGTCTTGTCTTGCCTTGGTTACTAGTGAAATAATTCTAAGAATGCATATGCTGTACAGTTCAGGGATTTCAGTATATTAGGTTTAAATACTGAGATTTAAGGACTTAATGAAGAGACTTTATACTTCAAACTCAGATAAATCTATTTTGAAAACAGATAAAATATAATCAAATAAACTTGAATTATCAATTAAGCAAGTGAAAAAAAAACCCCAACTGATGGAAAAAATTACTATCCAGGATCTTTTGTGGTTTTAACCTAAATCTTAGAAAGAAACTCCTAGTAAGCATGGTTGATATATATGTATCTTAAAGGGTTCAGCGTGAGATTAAGACTCCAAAAGTAATCTCAATCTCTGTGACATTTTTCAGAATTCAATGGCCAAGAAATGTTCAGGAATAGCCTTGTCTTAGTTAACGTAGTATGCTGTATAAAACCATGGAAAAATAGCTGGAGGACTTACAACTCCATGACCTCCTCAAACACAAAGTTCAATTCAGACTTTTAAAGAGAAAGTCACAAGTTTGAACTTTGCAGCTGTGTGGATTTAAGTGCATAGTGCACATAACAGACACACCCAATACCTGCCAGGCTGCCTGCTGAAAGAACAGTTTCTATCAGATTAAGGAGAAAACAAGCCATCCCTATGGGAAAAACACACAGCATCAGTGCATGCTCTGTTCCTTTGAATAATTCTAAATGCTGGGCCCTCAAAAGCACAGTTTGTTTGTATGTGTAATCAAGAGGTGAAGACAGAAGGCCTAAAGGGAAAAAAGAAAGCTTGGAAATTAAGTGATGTTTTATTTTCATGGATTCAACTCAGATTTCAGTGAATACCTTAACTTCACTCTATACTTGAAAAGCCCTTTAGAAACCAGGATTTTGTATGGACTAAACAAAACCAGCTCATTTCCTTCCCTTCTGCCTATTAAGCATCTATTGGCATGTGGTTTTAGTTAAATAATTCTCAAGCTTTTTGAGGTCAGCATTACCTATTTTACTTATAATAAACCTGTACTTTAGGGACCTCATGTCTAGACATACATTACCAACAGAAAATGGTGCCTAATAATAGCAGAAGTGTCAGAAGATATCTAAGCAGTCACTGAAGTAAAAGTTGCTGATGCACAATGAACAAATATCTAACGGAGGAGAAAGTAGCTGGGAAATGCTATGGAATTTGACCTACAGAATTCAAAACAAACCCAAGAACAAACAAGCTTACAACCATTTTCTAGGTGTGGTGCTAAACAGTTATTTAAGATGTTTAAAATAGTTTTTTTTTCACTCTGCTTTAGATGCTTATATAAGCTTTGAAAGAATGAACAAATGTCACCTGAAGAACAAAGCTTACAGTCTTCTCCAAATAAAAAATGATGGGTTTAGTTTCTGTAAAGTTTTGTACCAACCACTCTGGCCCATGTTGCTTTACTTACCCGTTTATCAATGTCATTGTGTTGGAGCTGAACAAAGCGAGCACTGATAGCAGCAATATAGCTCTGCTGGTTGGAGAAAGCCACTCTGCCAGCACCTTTTGGATACTTCAACTCTGGGTCTGTATCAATGCCAGCATAGCAGACACCTCCATATAAACGGTCCATAATCATTGCCAATTCAACTGCAAGAAGTCAATTGTTAAATATAATAGATTTAACTTAAATAATAGCATTGCATTTGGATTGCTGCATTTAAAAAAACCACCATTTGTCTTAGCATACTTGTCTTCCAAAGTCTAAAATTGCAACTGAGATGCTAGTTTTAACAGATTGAACCAACCCCACTTGAATTATAGTAAAATATAAAGGCAAAAAAACCACCAGAATCTGTAAAAACAAACTTGGTGTGACTGAAGCATGACAAAAAATGCAATTCCATTGTTAAAATAAGTATCAGATCAACTAGTGTTTACAATATGGCAAATGAAAACTGTGGTATTAGGGATTGGGAATTCAGGATCTCCTCAAAATCCAGCCAGGCTTGTTAATGCTAGTTTACATGTAAGATCACTCAAAGATATTTCTGTATTTAGAATCTGATAATTTGCCCTAAGTATTGAGGTTCAAAAGACATTAAAGAGGTTGTTTACATTTGAAACAAAAATTTTGCAACATCAGAAGTTACTGCAGCTAAAGCAAACCTACATTTTGGGTGTAACTTCAATGAGTATTTTAGTAGAACTTTATCTCAACTGGAGTTCTTTTAAAATGGTTTGCTGCTTCTTCTGACACTAAGAATAACTCAAAGAAGTTAAAAATATCATTCATAAGACAGGATGAGTGCATAGCTGAGGAAACACAGGAGGAAAGGTAAGGGAAAGAACTGAAGGAAGTGGAAAAGAGGCTGAAGAAAGCAGAACAGAGGATGTAAACTGTGCAAGGACACATGGTCACTCAGCCAGGTTCACCACAAAAGCAGATAGGCAAACAAATCTGTCAGATGGATGAGGGACAGATCCCCACAACACAATATACTGGGACCTAGACAGGCCCTGCCAAATCAACCATTTCCTAGGGCTAATGTGTGAAAACACATTCTGTAGCAAGTTACAAATTAGCTACCCAAGATAAAATGAAAAAAACTGCAAAAATAATTAAATATATAAATCCTACTGGGTCTCGCAAAATTCTCATTCGTAAATTATACACAGAATAAAGACAATTTAAAATTGAGTGGGTATGTGTGTTTGTATAAATTTGTGTGTGAAGCAAAGACCATGTGCTAATTTCTCCATTTGCAACAAGCAAACACACGTTTGACTCATTGTACCAAACCAGGTAATACCCTCGCTGCAAACAGTAAGGAGAAACTACCAGCAAAATGTAGTAGCTAGTAGATTCTTCTGCTTTTTAATGGTTGGGAATCATCATTTGGGTAGTGATCTCAGAAAGTGACAGTACAGAATAAACATCAGAAACAGCTAAAAAACATTTACAATAGTAGTTCCACTCTGGCCAATAGACAAAGCATGTATAGGATTCCAGGGCAAGAAAACCATGCAGTGTTCAGATATTTTAGGAATAACCTCAGTACCAGATCTTTAAAGCTGCAAACAAGAAAAACTGGAAACTGTTTGTCTTCTTTGGAGAAGTTAACTATTTAAAGGCATCAGTTTTCAAATGTAATGCATTTCAAATGTGATCCATGACAGGCCAAATGACAGTTTTATAAAGCCTACCATTAGAAATGAGGTAATGGTTAATTGTTACTATTTACATAATTACTGTCTTCCAATTGTGCCTTATTTTAAAATGGTAATCAAAGTGAAAGCTGCCAAGAAATCTGGACTAGGAGAAATTTTACTGTCAGCAGTGGCTAGGGGACCTTGTGTACAGCTTCTGAAAGACTTTTTGGATTAAGAGAAAGAAAAAGTGAGGAGCTGAAGATCTAGTGGGCTGGAAAGTGGCTGCAAGGAAACCTGATGCAGAAGTCTTTCTTCCAGACAGTGACTGAGAGGCCTTTGTCTACTACAGTGCTGGAAAATCAGGATTAGGGTTGAGAGGATGAAAACGAGAAACATGCAGCTAACTTGGAGAGAGGATGGAGAGGGACTACTAAACAGAAGTAAGGGCTGCCAAGTGTTTTAACTTGCTTCATTACCTTGTCATTAGTTCACCAAAAGAGTAAGGGTTAGGAAGAAAGAAAAGAATATCAAGCTACAGTTGGGAGCAGTGCTGAAAAGGGGCCTTCAAAACAAAGTGGGGGCTGCCAGGAGATCTGGGCTGGGATAAGTCTTTCATCTGGCCAAAGGCTAAGGAGTCTTGTCTATGACTCTGCAAATAAAAGTGAAGAAAAAAATTGAGGGGGAAAAAAGCTACATTCAGAGTGAGTCTGGAAAATAGTCTTCAGTGTGGGGCCACCACGTGACCTGGGTTGGGAGAAATTTTTCTTCTGGACAATGGCTGAGAGGCCTTGTACATACCTCCATGGAAAAATTAGGGTAAGGTTGAATAAAAGGGAGAAGTCATAGAGCTGACGTTGGAATTGGTTTGGAAAGGGGCTAGTTTGTCTTCTAGTCAAAGGAAAGGGGAGCTTGTCTGCATCTCAGCAAACAAATCAGGTTTACATTACAAAAAGCCAAGTTCTAGCATATTATGCAAACTTGGGAAAAACTGTTTGGACTGAAAATCCTAATTAGCACCCTATTTAAAAGGTAAAATATGCTCACAGTTTGAATTTTATAGACAAGAAGACACTCCTTGACTTAGAAAGCAAGCTAGGATTTTTGGAAGAGACAGGGTATATTTTCTGCTCTTTTACACATACAATATATCTTTTCTCATCTTTTATGCTTAATCTGGAACCTCTTACTACTTGCCCTATATTTTCCTTCTACTCACCAGCTCGGAGGGGCCGTGGAACTCCTCCAACAAAGATGGTTTTTCTTGGATCCAAAGGCTGAGACCCATCCATCACAAAATCACTGTCACTTAGGTTCCAAGGTCGAATTTGCACCTGTATTAAGGATCGTTTTTAGTAGAGGAACTTGACCACTCAATTAAAATTAAGAAACAACTGCCAAATCTTTCTATAATTAAAAACCAAATTTTTAACTTGGCAAAAGCAGTAAATGGGTGGTACAAGGACAATTTGAGAACATCAGTTGTCTAAACATCTGGAAGAAAATGGACAATTTGTTTATGACCTCTAGAGGCCAGACTTGAGTTAAACTTCATCACCACAAATTCCTACCCCTGGTAATCCTCTGCCCCTAATCGCCATCATAATAGAAAATCTGTGAAAAGACTTTTCAGAGACTTTCCATTACCATCTCTGTGCAATTACAGTTGCAGTTTGGGCTTCTGGATTTCCTAAAATCACATACAGCGAGCTGCAAATTTTAAAGCACTGATAGCAGTGAAGATAAAGTTAATTTCTGTGCTTGGATACAAAAGGAGTGTGAATGCCTACTGCTATTTTGCAGCAAGCAACAGAGTTGATAAGAAGCCTTTAGATTATACAGAAAAAAACCCCAAACTGCTCAGAAGTTACTTGGATAAAGCAGTTCATCAATGCATTTTTTCTAGCCTCGAAATCACACAAGATCACCCACTGTGCTGTAATATTGGGTTGTTCATTCCTCTGTGTAAGCATTTTAACAGCAGTTTCAAAAGGCAGCACAGTTTTTATCTTATTTGTCTGTAGTTTTCATCTAATCTGTATATATCCACAGGCACAAGAAAGGATATGTTAGGGATGTGAACAATAAAAACAGGTTACTGTATGTCTTCTATTCCACTCTAGCTGTCTGCAGCACTTGCTTGGACTCTGCAGTTTCTCTAAGGTAAATGAAGCCTAAAATATAAATTGATTACCTATTGCATGCATGAAAAATAATAATTAAGAACCCTAATGAAGTACAGAGGATATTCGATGTTCTCTGGATTTTAATCTGGTGAGGTTTAAAGTTTCTTACTTTCATCACATGAGGCTTTTTTTTCTCCCAAATAATATAAATGGAAAATTACAATCCCATTGTTTTACAGCTAACATTGTAAGATACCAGAAGTACAGAGTATAAAAGTTAATTGAACATGGCATTTATCAGAAAGAAGCAAATGTTAAAACTGTGTTAGGCTGATACAGAAAGCCAATTCCATGTCCCAGCAAGGACAGCCACAGGAAATGACAAGTCAATTAACTGTGAGGATTTATTTATTTATTTATTAACTGAAAAGAGCAACAGCAAACAGGTTAGCAACCAGCAGAAGTGCCATGGCATAAGCTACTTACTGGTTTATCCTTGATTGTGGGACTTGACACACATAGGTAAAGTTTCCCATCTTCTTCCAGACAGGCATCTATCAGAGCTTGTACAGAGCTTTCCTCCTGGAACAGGAGAAAGGCGTAACCTTGGAAAGGATAAGAGCACAAGAAAGAAAAGCAACAGGTTAATTTATAAAGCCTTTTTTTGTAAACAAACTCAAGAAGTGAATAAGATCTACAAATGATAAATGACTGTTAAGACTGCTAGTTTGTTTTCATAAATTAAATTGACCAAATAGATCATACCCTCACACAGTATTGATTTCAGAATGGAGACAAGGGTGTTTGCTGCATCTCAACATGCTTATTTGATTAATTAATGATTCTGAGTAGTGAGAATACAGGCTGGTGAATAAGGGCTTCTCACTACCCAACAACAGTTTCAGAACTATTTATCAGTGGTATCTGCTGGTATCTGTGATTATCATTTTACAATAGAAACACCAAATTTCTAGTTACTATATACCAAATTCTAGAAAAAAAAGGGGCAAAAAAGTAGACAGGTAAACAGAAAAATAGACTTGTATGCTTACATAATTAAACATGAAAAAAATGCTCACCTAAAAACCATAAGCCTGAGCAAAAATGAACAGCTAGCATTGTGCTTTATTATGAGTCAAAGACCTGATGATGTTACTTACATATAAATAAAGCACTTCAAAAGAAAGAAGAAAGTCCACTAAAATTGCTCCAAGTGATTGAGAATTTTAGGACTTTAAATGAGCCAGTAAAACCAAGCGTGTGTGTGGCACTCAGTGAAAACTTTCCAGACTTTTACTCAGCACTGTTAAATTTCAACGAAGATTTGACCCAAGCAGCACATGCTTCTGCTGCCTCAGAAGTGAAACTCACACAGTCCCCTCTGCACTCAGCAAAGCCAGGACTTGAATGAGCTGGACTTGAATACATCTGTCTGGCTGAAAGGACTTCCTATGGAGCATGCACTGCTCCTTTGCTCCACAATCAGTGCAACGTAGTTTTCTCCCTGAGAGTGAACATGTTAGCCGTGACCTTTATAATCTGGCACTTGTGTGTCTTACAGACTACCTCTTTTCCCAAAATCCACAGCAATTAGAGACAGCTGGAGTTGAAGCAGGGACTGCTGGAGTTCCTATGCCTAAGAGTCTTGACGCAAAGTAAGTGCCGACACGATGATACACCATATTTACCTATCAAACCACCTTTGATATAGCCATACACAGTCTATTTGCTATTAATATAGTAGTGACTTACCAAGATTTTGTAGAGTATTGAGTGAATACTGTATGAATGTCCTTTTTAGATAAAACCCACACAACTCTGATTAATAAAAGAATTTAAGACAGACACTGAAAAAGTGTTTTTCTCTGTAGAGTTGTCTACCAAACAACAGTTATCTTTGGCCCTGCTATCTGTAGTCCTGCATGACTTCTCAAAGAATATTAAATTCTCTGCAGCTGTTTGGTTTTAGAAGCAACAAGGTTTGCACTAACATGATTATAGCCCAGGACACACCTAGAAAGACTGACTTATCCAAGAAAACAAAGTAGTTTGATCATCATTCTTGCCAGCAAAAAAGGAACTTGCGTACTTGGAACTGGGAGTAGATTAAAGATATGTCTGAATAAAAAGTGAAATTCTTCTTTTAAAACAATCCCCTAAAGATATAAACACTCTTCAACATTTCAGTTTTAGACTTTACAAAACTAAATAGATTGAATGAGTATGAAAATAATAAGCTTGCCATCACTGTCACTTCCAGCTTCATTCTATTTTCCATCCATGCACTTGTTATATTTTCTTCCCTCCATACCATCCCTTCTGTTTACATCTAATAATGACAGCAAAAACTTCATACAAATTAAAGCATCTTTAGTTCAGCCATTCATAGAATCATCAAGGTTGGAGGACACCTGTAAGATCATCTATTCCAACCATTAACTTGGCACTGTGCTCCAAGCCCTAAACCTTAAACCATATCCTCCAGTGCCAGATCCAGACACCTATTAAAGAATTCCAGGGATGGTGACTCCACCACATCCCTGGGCAACCTATTCCAGTTCTTTCAGCCTTACAAAATGTCCCAGCCAAAAACCTGGACACATGGAAAAGACTACCATGGCAACTACACCTCTAAGGCCAAACAATCCCAGTTTAATCCTCAACCCAATCCTTGCTTTATATTGTAGATAAATGCCTTATAAGAAAAACTCCCAGAAGATGCAGTGCAGATCTTTCCAGTACTATGAAAGCCAAATAAGAACACATGTACATTTATGCATGTGTTAAAAGAATGGTTTACAATGTATTTGAAATAGATTTAACCATGTAGGATTTATCTCCTGGCCACACCAGAAGATTTGAAATCTAAAAAAATAGGGGTTTGTTTGTCATGGACTTTTGTAACCTTTAACCAGGAAAATATTGGAAATTTCTTCAGCATAAAGTCAAAGTGAAAATTTGAAAATGTTTCTTATGGCTGAATTACTTATCAAAAATCCGGGCAACAGTTTACGAAGCTTTTTCATTTTTTTCTGGGACATTGTAAGAGGTTACATCTGTGGTAGTTGGAGTTGACTGTCATTTGGGGGTACATTAAAGAATTCTCACAGTAGGTGAAATTTAAATAAATTACTTTTTTTTTGCACGGGAACAAACCACCATTTTTAATAACTTCAGCCACATTTAAATTAGAACCAGAACGCCAATCTGCAAATTCCCAGTAATTTTATTTCTGTATTTAAACGCCAGGTTTGGCTATAATTTTATAAAACTTTTAAGAGTATTCTTTCCTGAAGAGATTCTCAAAAATGTCTATTTCAGGCATTTTATCCTGTTCCACAATTTCTATTTCTATTTCTGCTACACACAATGAGACATGCGCCTAATCCCCCAAAAGCACGGACTGCATGGCCAGCTGACCTCTAATTCTCACAACGGTCTGTTAGAAAAGCATCTAGATTGAAAAGAACATTTATGTTTAAAGACAATGGGTGACACAGAATTAATAAGAGGATCAATTTCTAAACCAAAAATGTATTAATCCAAGTAACTTGAATTATTTAGCAGATGCTGAAAGTTGTTTCAAATTCCCCATCGAGCAGCAAGTGCTTCAGCACATTCTCCATTCTGTGCTTCACAAATATCATATCACTTAAAGCATAAATCTACTTCCCAAGAAGGAAGAGATTTGATGAATTTCAAAATTTTAAATCCTATACAGCAGAACCTTAGTAGCCTACTGTGGAGGAACATTGCTGGCAAACTTCAGCAGTGATCCTTTCTTACCTGACTAGACATTCTAAAGGTTTGAGGGCTTGAGGGTTTGCTCCTGACTCAGATTCCACAAAGTAAAGCAGGCAAGATATTTGAGGCCTCAGAAAACAGCAAGCTACCTGACAACAGCTGAATATTCTATATACACAGATACATGGAGATTGTTTCTTCTCGGCAGAGTAGAAAGGATGCAGAAAGGATCCTCCTCTGTTGGAACGACACATCGCTGAAGTGCTGACAATAAACACTGTACTTTGCCATTCTCTGGGAAAAGGCAACAACATATTTTGCTGTCAGAACAGTCACTACAACCTTTGAAGGGGTACAGAAGAGAGGGTGAGGAGAAAACCAGTTTCCCTGGATTCTGAACCACAGCCTACAAATTCCTCAGCCTTGAGCTCCAGGATGCATTATTTTATGGAAAGCAGTACAAGAACTAAGCTGCTTTGAAGATGTCCCATTCTGACATCAAAACAGTGACACAATTTCCGTGCGAAAGGATAATTTAGTCCAGTTGGTCTAATTTCACTTAACCTTGCTGAGAACAAACTGGAAAATCTAGCATATATGCTGTGTCCCACAAGCTTGAAACAAGGTTGTCACTTAAAATGCAAGATACACTTGGAACCAAATAATGTTGTTATAGTCTGACAAATGCATTTTTTCCAGCCTAGACAGCCTGGAAAAATCTCTGTTTCAATTAATATCAACATAGGCATATCTTCCCTAATGATGGGAACCTTTCTGTATTACTTGAGAGTACATATAGCTTCAGTGACCTCTTCAAATCAACATGCTAGATGGAAAAGCTTATTAAGGTGCTTATTCTGCCTTTCTATTCATATTTTTATGCTAAAAACTGGCATGTTGGTACCAATCACAGGCATTTTGGAGTTTCAGCTAGTAGAGCATCATGCATGTCTTCTGCCCATCCTTCCTCAATGTAATTAATTGAGAAGAACCACTCACAACCTTTATTAGGGCAGAGTGAGCATTAAGGGTATTATGCCCATGAAATTAAACATACAGGCCTTGTAAGTTTAAGAGTTTAAGTTTAAGCTTACAGGCATTGTCAGACCATCCAACTTAGCAAGCCATACACAGCTGGTAGGGTTCATCAGAAAAGAGTATCTTCTTGTCTAAACCAAAGTACTTCTAACAGTTAAAGACGATCCTACTTCATGCCCATCATGGCTCATCAAAAGACTGACAGCATTTCAGAGCATCCGTGAATAAAGCATGCTTAAAATAGAATTTTTATACTCCTCTCAGTTTAAGTGATTAATTCCTAATGCTATGAGAGCAAAAGTTGTCTGAACAGTCTCCAGATAGTGATACAGGAATATTTCAGAAAGGTACTGATGGAGTAATTGCACGGATCTCACTAAATGAAACCCAGAATGGACTGAATTAAATCCAGAGTTTTTCTTGGAAGCTTCAGTTAATTGTGAATTAGTTCAATTTCCCTATAATAACCAAAGTGTACCATTTTATACTCAACTTGTGAACACTAAAATAATTAATAAGTTCTTTAAGTTCTTGCATTTGAGAAAAACAATATATAAATTGCTGTTCAAATACATCAACCATGAGCTGCATCTCCTAGTACAAAACCAGCACTTTGGCAATCAAGTGTTATATAGCCAAAGGGAAGGATGAACCTATTTCTGGTTCATCCTTTCAAATAAAGCGAAAAAATTGCAATGAAGAATTATATATAAGGTCAGAGAGTATTTGAACATCCATGCCAGATGTCTGCATATCATCTATTTATTTCCTATATACCTGACCTCAAACCCATAATTCCCCAAATTCAGCCCTTATAAAATCA